CATTGTACTTCAATGGTTATACAAAATTTTCTGGCTCTCTAGGCTAGAAAGTCTACATTCTTTTTTCACCCGTGTCCCTGTTGTCTTTGCTCTCCCAACTCTGTCTGCCCCCAGGATAACAGTGAAAAACAGGAATTTGCTTCATATCTCCATATAACTACCCTCCTCAAAATGTGGACTTTCCGCCAGAATCTGCCTGCTTCTTATTCACTCTTCTGTTTCTTTCTGTTTTTTGTTTTTGTTTTTGTTTTTGTTTTTAATTATGTGCAGAGTTTAAAAACTTATGGGTAGGGGTTTCAGTCCAGTAAATGTTACTCAGCCATTAATGGAAGCAGACTATAAAATAGCTATTTAAATGACTGGTTGAAGGGAAGATTTTTGTCTTATCTGTCTTTGAATCAACAAAGCCTAGGAGCATGTATTGAACCCAGTAAGGAATAGAATGGCATTTTAATTTTCATTACTTACTCCTGTTTATGCCTCTTCCTTAGCAAATCAAACAATACTTTTTTTGAGGTAGGGGAATTACAGCAATTTTTAAAACATTAAACCTTCGTGACTGAGGACAATCCTTCAGCCATTTTGAATGTTTTGCAATCATATTTACTGAGTTTTTGTTTTGATTTGAATGATGTTACATCTATTTATGTTAATCTCAGTTATGCTGATAATATATTTGCTGACTAAGCAAATGTAATTGTTAAAATAGGCTTGCTATTTACAGGATTAGGAAACGAGCTGCTATGTGTCTGCATTCTAAAAGTCAATAAACTTATTTTTTTGCAACAGCATAAACATTCAGGGAATATTAAGAGATATTTTTTAATTGTAAAGACTTTGTGTTTGGTAGCTTCTGCCCCAATCTTCGATCCTTTTTACTTACTCTTTCATTTACCTGGAATGCCCTGCCCCATAATCCCTGGTTACTCATATTTGCACTTTTATATTTCTACTCAAATATCCTGTTTAATTTAGAGACAGTTTAGGGGGCAGAATTCTAAAGATGGCTCTTCCAAGTTTCCTGGCCCCTGTTTATTCAAACAAACACTATTCTAGATACTACTGTTAAGGAATTTTGCAGATATAAATGAGTTGCCCTTAAAATATAGGCAAAGGAGGATCTAAAAAGATAAGGGAAGCAAAGATGCCAACAGACTTTATGATAAGGATTTACTTAGAAAGAGCTCTGCTATGATTTCTTGACTTCTCTAAGAAGAAACAAGGGTGCCTCCCTTTACTCCAGGTTGAGGGAGGGATTTCAACAGAACCACTTAGAGTTTTCTGTGTGCTCCCAGACCAGTGGATTATGGCCTGAACTTCACCAGGAAAATCTAAAAAGTAGAGATAGCCATGAGCTGCTTACTTGCTTGGCGTCAAAGAAAAGAAAAGTCACTGCTGCTTTGGAATTAATGTGTCTGGGCAAAAACTACAAAGATAGTAACCATGGACAACATTGGAACCATATGAGTAAGAACTAATGTAAATTCTGCCCAAGAAGGCCATCTGAAATAGTGAGTGAACTCCAACAGTAAGATTGGATCACTGGATGTTCAAGGACAAAGAGGTAGTGGCCAGCCAGAGAAAAATATCACGTCACAGAAAATATAGTTGAAGTGTGGATGCTCTTGGGATCCACTGCTTGCGATTGGTGTCTGAAGTGTGGTGGCGGGGGGCGGGGGGAGGAGAGGGAGAGAAGAGAGTCTTGTAGATTCTGTACTCACTCAGTAGGTGGTGTCAGAAGTGAACTGTAGGACCCTCTGTTGTTGTCCACAGAGAAATGGAGAATTGCTTGGTGAGGAAAATCCACATGTTCGCTGTCAGAAGTATTGTGTCAGAGAACAGATTTTCCTTTAAAATAAGAGAGATTTTTTTTCTCATTTTTAATCACTTGCAAAACTAATAAGCTGCTTAGAGCAAACATCATAACAAAGTACTGTGGGGTTTCAACCTAATGTAGAATTAAAATGGATAGCACTAATTACAGAAAATGTGGGAGAGTTTAAGTATACTCTTGTAAGTGTCTGATAGCATATGTGAAGTGGTATATTATTTGGTGGTAGATTGTGATAAATTAATGATGTATGCTATAAACCCTAGAGCACATACAAAAAATCTTTATTTTATAGTTAATAAACTATATTAATTTTCTATTGCTGATGTAACAGATGACCACGATGTTTAGTAGTTGAAGCAATAATAATTTATTTTACATTTCTGTACCCAAAAAGTTAAAACAGACCTCACCACACAAAAAGCAAGGTGTCTGCTGGACTACAGGCCTTTCTGGAGGCTCTAGGAGAGGATTCATTTCTTTGATCAGTTGAGTTGTTGACAAAATTCAGGTCCTTTCAGTTATAGAACCAAAATTTCTGTTTCTTTGCTAGCTATATAGTGTGAGGGCTAGACTCAGCTTCTAGATACCACCCACATTTCTGGGTTTCTGGTCCCGTCTATCAAAGAGAGAGAGAGAGAGAGAGAGAGAGAGAGAGAGAGAGAGAGAGAGAGTGTGTGTGTGTGTGTGTGACTTCTGACTACAGCTGGAAAAAGTTTTTCACTTTTAAGATTTTATGTGATTAGATTGGGCCTCTCTAGATAATCCACAATAATATCTCAGCTTTAAAGCCAGCTGATTCACAACTTTAATTGCATCTGCAATCGTAAGTCCTTTTATATTTGTATTGAATTATATATAGTAACTATATAACATTATCCAAGAATTCTAAAACTTACCAAATAGTATCTATTGCTCTAAAATTCAAGATAGGATAGGAAAAACATTTTTTTCAAATTAATTTGCATCAATTGGATCTTAGTGAAAAGTATACTTTTAATTTAAAATGTCAAAATAATTTTATTTATATTCCTTTTCTGTTATTTATCATTCTGATGACCCTTGTAGCAAAATTTTGTGTATAAATATATTATTCCAATAACATAAACTCCCTGCATTTTTGCTTTTTTGTTGTGTTTTTTGTTTTTTGCTTTTTATCTTAAAGGCAACATAGATCATTTTTATAAAATCCCCACATTATCTAGGTATGAATATTAAAGCTTAGATATATTGAGTAACTTAACCAAGCAACATAGTGGCAGAACACAGGCCAGTAACCTGAATCCAAATTAGATAACTCGACATTCTCCATTTAAAACATTATTACATTTCATCTAATTGATCATTCACCAGACATATACTCTATAAGAATTTAATTTCCTTTTAACATAAAAGATAAACTCTTAGTTCTATTTTGTCTAAAAATTGTTAAATATCTGTGCATTTCATATTTTCAGAAATATTATTTTATGTGTTAGTGTTTGCGTTATAGAATAAGTTCTCAAAATAGAGTTATAAAAATTATTGAAAGGTTAAAGATACTTTTACACTTTATTGACAAAAATAAGGGAGACTATATTAAAACTGACAAGGGTGTTTACATGCTGTATCATAAAAACGAGACATAGATACTTTTTTATTTACGTTTTATAAATTGATGACCACTCAGGAAACTCAAGCATTTATGAAGATGCGATATAAACAGTCCCTCAAAACCTCTCACCTGGGCTGTTCTAGTGGCTTCTATGTTTCCCCAGCTTTCACACTTGCCCCTATATAACCCACCTGACAGATTGTGTTTTTCTTTAAAAACAAAAATCACATCATGTCACTCCATGCTTTTAACATTTTAGTCATTGGTTGTTCTGAAAAGATAGTCCATGAGTGTTTGTTTGAATCTGAGGCTGTCTTATCCCTCCATGATTCTCTACCACCTGTCCCTAAACAGGAAACACTGGTTGGTGTTTCCCTAGCTGTAGGCCCTTTGTTCACTGTCTCTGGGCATGTGATTATATCTCATCTACATCTGTACCCCCAACACTGAGAGTGAGTCTGCAGGCTTTGGTTGAATCCCAGAGAAGTCTTTGCCTTTGATCTGCAAGGCTGGACATTATCTTTCTCACTTTTGTAATAACGGGATTCATTGAAAAGTAGATAAGCGGATATTCACCTGGAAATCAGAAGTCCATCTCGCCTTGCAGATATTCGTAGACTTTACTAGGATTCTCGTAGAGCCCTCCATGCTAAGCTTTGGGAGACAAACCAGTTGAGGCCTCCATTCTCAAAGGGTAGGTGAAAGGAGAAGGTAGCTTGTCTTCACTAACTCTGAATGCTCATCAAAAGGTAATAGCTCGTCTCTTCTTCCCATAGCTTTTATTCATACAGGCATATATATCACCGTTAGTCTTCTCCATTGCCCATAAAATGAAATTGGGAGGGAAGGTGTGGTTCAAAGGCATACCAGAAATCTCATACCTAGAACTCAGTTTCTTTGAATGGTTTTATAGTATTTTGTATATTTGTTTTCTACAGGTTGCTTTCTTCACATAATCCCTGAGCATATTACAACTTCTGGTAGTAAGAAACAGTTTCAATCAAAATCTCAACCCATGCTGTTTTAAGAGTAAGCTCCAAGAGAATAAGAGCCTTATTTACATTTTTCTATCCTTTATTCCCAGAACCATGGTGTCAGGACCTGGAAAGTAATAGGAAATGAGCAATTTACTTTGGTTGAGTGGTAGGATTCTGTTTTAATTCTATAAACAATTTTACAAATAAAAATGTAAACAATGAAAAAAATATTGCTGAATTTCTCTACACTTTTATGAAAGTGTCACAAATACCTTTTACCTTGTCCCTATTGCCTAGACTGGTGATGACAGATAGAAAGCAGTAAATAGATTCTGAATACCTTAATACATCTGAAAAGGTGGTGAAATTTGAATTTGACAGGTCCATAAATCTCCTGGAGTCAGTACTTATTTAATTTTTAATTCTAAGTATCCTAAAAATGCTAAATAGGATTGAAAATTATTCTAAATAACTATATCTTTATTTTCAATTATTTTTACATCATACCCTATCAAACCAACTATTTTGTTATTTTATTTTGCTTCCTGCTCATGGTGACTTTCAGATGTAACTAATCGTTTTCTGTATTTGCCTTTAGGATTTGATACCAGTATTTTGCCAATTTGCAAAGATTCACTTGGCTGGATGTTTAACAGACTTGATACAAACTATGACCTATTACTGGACCAGTCAGAGCTTGGAAGCATTTACCTGGATAAGAATGAACAGTGTACAAAGGCATTCTTTAATTCTTGTGACACGTACAAGGACAGTTTGATATCTAACAATGAATGGTGCTACTGCTTCCAGAGACAGCAAGGTAAAAGATGAGACACCTACCAATGCAGATAGTTGAACTGCATGTCAAATTTTATCTATTCCTTCATGATAAAAAAAATTGCACACTATACCCATTCATTTTGGTAGATTCTTTTCTAATTCGAGTGTTTAATGAAAGAGCAAATAAGCATCACGTTGAACAATATAATTCTGCTAGGGATGAAAAACATGCTAAATAAGATGAAAAATAGTAATAAATAATTTATGTTAATGTACTTCATTGTAGTTTTCATTATGAACCACCAAAAAGCACGTAGAGATATGAGAACGTCAATATTTATTGAAAGTAATCATTAAAATTAATTTTCTATCTGCAAATAAATATTTTTTTATCACTATACAATAGAGTTTTAATGTTCTGTTTTGATCTTATTAAATGAACTGAATGAACCACAGCATTCACCATAAAGTTATTTTTACTTATTTGGTTTTAAAATGATTTAGTCTTTCAAACTTTTCACAATTACTTAGCTTTATAAAACTTTGCTAGCAAAGAAAATTGTCTTGATTCTCTGGAAGAGATGAGGTAACCTGAAGGGTTGAAACGATGCTACTTCTTAATGCTTTTTTCTGTATTAGAAAATGTTAACATGGTATAAAATTAAGTATGTAAAGGAAAAACATCTAAAAAACTCACATTATGATAAAGTTTGGGGAAAACTAAGGAAACACTGATATGTCACTTCGATGCTAATTAAGAAAGCAAACTGGGAATTAGTCTAATGCGATACACTTGCTATTGTCACTGCATTTTAAAATTCTTGACACCTAAGAGAATGAATAAGTTACTTGAAACTCTATTAATGATTCTCAGTTTTTCATATGGAAAACCAACACATTATTTAAGGCATTGTATTATCTCAATTACTCTTTCATATGTCAGTAATAGTTTAGTAATTAGGGATGAAATGATTATCAATAAATAGATTGGTAGTGAATCAACACCAGTGTTTGTAGAGTAGCTAAACTATAAACTATTTTAAACAAAGTTTAAAAATTGGATTTGCTTTATTAAAATATTCTAGATCATACACACACATACAAAAATATATTGTTGACTTTATTATTACATATGTGCTTCTAAATTATTGAACACCCCAAAAAACTACATCTTAGTTTTAATGACTAGTATACACTTAGATCATTTAAAGAATAAAAAAGTAAAACCAGGTAAACTGCCATAAAAAGATATGTGGTCTTTTTTTTAATAATGACAAATTTAGTTTTTTATTATTATGATAGCGCATTTAAGTGTTTATAAATGAACAATTAAAAATATTCTGAATAACTCTGAATGTTTCTTCTACCGAAATAAATACTTTAAAAATATTCCTGGATTTTACAGTAATATTTATAGAACTGATTAAAGGTCCCCAGAGAAAATTTTGCTTTATATACTTTTCAATTATTAAGCAGTATTCTTCCAAAGTGTTAAAATTTTTATAGTCACATGAAGACATTATCTGAGATCATTTAATGCATGGTAGAAATAATTTAATTAATGGTACACAAGCTGGTAAAAGGATTTATACAACTTCTCAAAAGTTTAGGAGAGTTTGGCAAACTATGTTTATTACTTTAATATGCTAAAAAATGTTACAAAAGCTCTATCAGGGTAACTGATTTATTCAATTAGTCCATTAAGTAATTTTATAAAAAAGAATAATCATTAATTGAAAAACATTATTCAAATATTTTACCTTATAAAAGAATATTTTTTCTTGTTTATTCACTGAAAAATAAATTCTTGTTTCCAATAAAAAGTCACTATAAAAAGTTAAGTTTTAACTCTATAGTACACACATTAATTTGTTACTTAGTGAATAAACAGAAAATAGTTATATATATGAAAATTATATATATTATTAATACATACATGGAAAGAGAGAGAAAGAGAGAGAGAAGTATATAATGGGATATTATTAATCCGCATTGACCTAAAGCTCCAATCAAGAGGATAGTTATATTATGTTAGAAAATATCTGGAAAATAAAGTAATGATGTTTTTTAAAAAATGCCTTTTAAAAATTTGAAATTAAGGTTAATCTCAAAAGTTTAATATAAAAAGGTTGATAACATAAAGTTTCAAGCAAGTGAAATCCTTGTAAAGAAGAAACCTATTTTAACTTTAATTAAAATATAAATTTGTTTCTATGACTAATTTTCTAAATCATGACAATTAAGCAATACAGAATGGATATAATTGTGGTTTGCATAATTTTTCTAAGTAATCATGAAAGAATGAGTAGGAGGAATATTAATTGGAGATTCTGGTTGCCTTAGGAGTTCATAACTTATTTTCATAAAGTATAGTTTAAGCCTCTACTCTAAGAAAGTAAATCAATTACTAGTTGCTATTTCATTTAAAATCCTGCTGTGTATGATGTAGGAAAGAGAGCAAAAACAGAAAAACCCAACTTTTATTCATGTCCATCTAGTCTTTTATATATAAAAGTGAAAATATTATTTCTATTTTATAGTTAAAAACCAAAATTTATTCATCTTAAATAACTTCACATTACAGAATGAATATAGGAACTGGGATTTGAAATGACTCTTAGGCTTCTGTCTCTAAGTAATTTTAATCCTATATTCAGAATTTGCAAGGTAACTATATGTAAAATGTCATAGAGACATCACTGCACCTTGTTGGCAAACCTTATTCAGTATAGGTAACATCAGCAAGTTACTATTTCAGTTGACAATATATCCAATATTTTTTCCTCAGGACTACAGTGAAAATAGATATTTTTAGAAGTTATTTATACTTAATCTACAGAAAGAGATATCAAATGTGGGTCATGTGTATTAACTTTACAAAAGATTTTTTTTCTATTTATGAAAGAAATTAGAGACAATTTTGTCCTTTGGTATTATGAATATTTAAAATCTACACTGACGAAATAAACTTAATAAAGTTATCTAAGTATATCCATTCCATGAGAGGCTATATGAATAATAAAATATTGAGGAAAAGAGGGAATAAGGGCAACGGCTTACTGAGAGGGAAGTCAGCTACCTTGCTGTCCAACTCCAGAGCATCCTTCATAATACAGTGGAAGTGAATGGTGTCCCTTTGGAGTTGTGCAGTATACAGCCTGTGCAACTATATGCTGCCTGCTTGGAGAGTCATTCACGAACCTCTGTAACATCCACTTTTCCATTTTGACTCAAAATTGTCTATATAAATTTGACGACTAGTAAAAATATATTTCTCAGAAATGACTAGTTGTGAGTACAGAAAAAACACATTTGTATATTAATAACTATTATAAACATATAGATATTTCCTTATTTATTTTTACCTGTGACATTTTATTTAATTCAAATGCATTATCATTGTGTTGAAAATTATCAATTTCTAATATAGATAATGTGTGAATGGCCTTAATATAGGCATTTAAGTTTTTAAATTCAGAATGCAAAACAATGAACAATGTTATTTTCAAAAACAAAATTTAAATATTAAAAAAATTTTATTATGTTTTCTTTGTTTTTTTAAACTAATGTTTGAAGTATTTACTTGTAAATTTGTCAATTAAATTAAAAGATTAATTCATGACTCTCACCATTTTAGGCATATAAAATTAGAATTTTCTATAACCTTAAAACACTATTTGGTAGGAAATAGAGTAGGGGAAATCAATTTTGTCTTATAAATCTTGTGCATATACCCTAAGCTGAATATTTAACTCTAATCATGTCCAAACCTTCAGGTAATTAGTTGGGTTACTATCCTTTCTCTAGATCAGTTCTTTGCAAGTGAATTTAAATGACAGGCGAATCTCAATAAAGCACTGCAAGTAATATATAAGTTAAAGGGCAGACAGAGCTGCTTTTTAAGTAATAGGAAAAATATTTCAAAATCAGGCCCTGTATGTATGAACAGCCTAATCTGTTGTGATTTCTCTTGAAATCTTAAAATGTTCCCATATAAAGAGCTTGTAGAACTAGTAATCAGGTTTATTCAGTTTACTAATCAAGTCAGACTCAAACATACCTGGATTTTCAGGCAATCCAGTTGTAAATATAAACAATTGTTAACTTCTACTTTACAATAACTGGCTATTAACAATTAAAAGAATTGCTTTTAATGTAATATTGAAACTTCAGCTAAAATTTTTGCTCTTGGTCCTAAATGTCATATTTGCAGGGCAGTATATTTTAAAATATGTATTTTATAAGCCCACACTATGCAACTTGGCTTCTATTTCTTTAATACTTAGTATAGTCTCACAAAATTATTAGGAAAATCAAAGCCATCGACTGGACCAATTTCAAAATGAAGTACAACAATAGGTAATTGCTTAGTCTTTTCAAAGAATTTACTTTTTCTTCATGTTTTAGATTCTCCAAGGAAAAACACTTTTGTCCTTATATATTAAACTATAAAATATATATTAAAAGCTTTATCTCATTTCCTTATTCTTCTTTACTTACATGCAATTTATTAACTAAATGTTATGACATTGGTATTCAAAAGAATTTTAAAATTATCTGATTAATTATACCTTGCCTTTTTCCTAAAAAGTTGTAATGTAGGAAAATAGGTACTAATTTATTGTTTTGCAGTTCAGTAGTTTATAACAGTTTTTATATAGCAAATGTTAAGAGCAAGTTTTTAGAATATGAATATAAAATATATTGAACTGTTTTCAGATAAGAATATATAATGATATATAATAATTTATTACATAAAAGAATGTAATTATATATAATAAGTCAAACTTTTAATGTGTCTATTTAGAATTTTATACTCCTCTGAAAATGTTCTCCTTTAAGTGGTTGAGTTTGAAAAATAGGCAAATACTTATTTCCAAATAATATTTTATTTTTTAAAAAGATGGTTTATCAGAATATTGTATATGTCCCATTTTCAAATTGGATATATACTTGAAGCATCCAGGTGAAATAAAAAAACCAAAGCCTATCAACATTATTCAGTATCAAAATTTATAAAGGTATCTCTGATGTGTCTTGAAAGAAACATTAACATTTTCATAGATCACTTTTTCAATGCAAAGCTATTTCTCCATATCATAGGAAAATTTAAATGAGAGAAAAACATAATTTATTAATTGAGTGGCAGTCCATTATTGCATTTACATTGCTGAGTTGATTGACCTTTTAAAAGTAAATGATAAGGAACATTCTGCATCATAGAGTAAGTATTTTATACCTCTCTCTCTCTCTCTCTCTCTCTCTCTCTTTTATCCAATTCTGTCATTCTGAAGAAAATCAAGATAATCTAATATTAACAATCAGGAAAGTCTCTCTGTCTCTGTTTCTTTTTTTCTCTGTGTGTGTACATGTGTGTATGCACATGTGTATCTAAATGCATGTATCTTCATAAGTAGAATAACTAATATGTAATGTGTCCTCTAAAGCAACCTAAAGGCTAACCGAAGTTCGATAATATAGAAACTATACTTTTCTTTGTTTAACTATAACCCTTGAAGTATCATTTTTAATGTCATTGCAGACCCACCTTGCCAGACGGAGCTCAGCAATATCCAGAAGTGGCAAGGAATAAAGAAGCTCCTGGGTGAGTAATAGATCATTTTTCTGAAGCCTTTATTGCTTACATAAATAACCCCAGGGAAACAGCAACATAAAATCAATATTAATCCAACAAAGATAGACTACACTAAATTTCAGTAACAAAATTTATGAAGTTTTTGAAAGCCATTAAACTTATTTTTATTATCTTACCTATTGAAAGATATTATGTGTGTTTTATTACCCTAATATAATGTTCATTTTGAGAGTTATTAAGTAAAAAGGAGATTTAAACAATGCTAAAGTTAAAGCATCAGCGGAAACTTCAATTCCAGTTCTATGGTTAACAACTCAAGAATTGATAGTACATATATTGCATATATATATGAAAATGAAAAAATTCTTATAGACGATAGATAGAGATAGATAGAAATGGGGGTGAAAGCATGCCCTGAGTACCGCAAGAAAATCTGAACACACTTTTTTGTGTTTTTTTATTATAGCCTCTTACTAACTTTTTATACGTAAATGTATGGATTAGATTAGATAGATAGATAGATAGATAGATAGATAGATGATAGATAGGAGACAGACAGACAAAGAGATAATTCCAAAATCCTCCCAAAGCTATCAGATTATTAAACTATTATATATGATTTCGTTTGTCCTTATAAACATACAATTTTTAAACTCCTTGGAATTCTTTCAGATTTAAAAAAGTTTACAAAGATAGTACATAGTTTCCATATATCCTTCAACCAGCCTCACCTAAAGTTACCATCTTACTATGTATCAAATAACCATTGTCCATCTGTCAAAATTAAGAAACTAATATTGCTATAATTCTATTAATTAAACCTCAGACTTTATTTAGATTTCAGGAGTTTTTCCACTATTGTCCTTTTTTTTCTAGTTTTAGGATCCAATGCAGAACACCACATATGTGATTTTTCAAACACGTATTAATGCCCTTATATATTTAGTGGCACAAAATTTTATAATGCTTTGAATCTGATTAATCGGTATTATATTATGATATGCTATATTATTATATTGTGTGTTTAGATGAGAAACTTTTTCATATTACTTGAAAGTTCTTGGTTCAAAATTAAAAGGTTCATTTTTTGTAATACAGCAATTTTAGATGTGAAGAATTACTAGTCAGAAAATCTACAATGTGTCATGTTTCTTTTAAGTCTTACAAAATGTATGCCACTTTACAAGTCACAAAGGAAAATAATACCTTCATACACTGGTTTGTTTGTTTCCACAAATCAAAGTTTAGCCATGTACAATGTTCAGCTAAAATTATTTTAGACTTGATCAAGGTTTACTAGTGACAAAAATCTATTAATATTTAAGGCTTTGATTATTTGAAGTTACAAACAATTAAAAACATATTTAGCGCCCATTTGGGGATAGTCACCTTTATTCTTCTTATATAATAAAAATGAAAGTCATTATTACAGAATACTGAATGTCTTAAATATCTTTTCTAATTTGCATAGTATAATGGTATTTGTCTGAAAATTGATCAGTTATTATATAGGAGGATGCCATATGTTCCAGTTTGCAAATTCAGTCTTGGTTGATGTCTGAAGTTTGAGCATAATTCTTAATAGTGTTCTCTTTCATTTTCAAAGTGTACTTCCAGAAAAGATAAACTAAATGGTCACACTATACATCATCACATTTTTATGTCAAATATGTTAAATTATGGAAGTTTTTTTAAGAGGTAGATTAAAAATGTTGAAAATTTTCCTTATTTTTTGTTGGCCTCAAATTCACAGAAGTTTTTCTCAAGTTTTCCACATTAATAATATTCTGTCTACCTCGCTGAAAGACTAGTAATTTAAATCTTTCAAGTGAATTATAGTTTTTAGACTAAATTAATTATATATCAAACTTTTTAATCTTTTTAAAAGGGAGAATTTATAAGCCCATGTGCTTGTAAGACTAAATAGGTTTCATGTTTTATCAATTTATTAAATTTTTTTTCTTTCACCAAATAACTATAGTACGTCTAGTCACTGAAAAAGAAAAAAAAAAAGAATGGTTGGGAAAGACAGGAAAATTTTCTAATCTCTTAAAGCTCACATTGCAGTGTGTGAGTGTTTATTGAAGAATGTGAATTCACTTCTAAGTTATTAATTAAACATTTATCATTAGCAATGTGCCTAGTACTATATTAGATATTATAGATATGAAAATGAATGTCTATCGTTCCCACTAAACTGAGGTTAAGAGTTGTTAAGATTACAATCAAAACCAACTTAAAAATCCCAATATAGGATTTCACAGTGTAGTGGTAAAAGCACGCAATGGCAAACTACACACACACACACACACACACACACACACACACACACACGAGGTGGAAGAAGGCTATCAGAAATCTTCCAGCTTAAGAGAAGGCTTAATACTGGGGGGCGTGGGGTGGTGGTGGTGGTGGTGTTACGTTTAAGTCAAATTTTAAATTGGAAGAGGGAGTGAAGGAGGGCAATTCCAGATGAAAATAAAAGATGTATACAGAGATGAAGCAATACTGAAAACAGCTTGATGTAGAAAGAACTTGGAATGTATGAATGAAAATTCGGGAAAATGATAACAGAAAGTTGGTAGTGATAAGATGGTGAAGGGTCTGGTATGCCATTTGAGTGGTCTGGATGACTTAATATGAGCGCCATTAATCAGATTCTGATTCTGTATTATACTTTGCGGAATGAAAAATAAAAAGATAGTAAATTTGCTTAACAAAGGAAATGTAAGCATTTCATAATGATGATAGCCAGCTTTGTAGCCTGGACTGGGAACTCCATATATGTTCGTTTTGAGTGAATTAATGTATAATCAATGACTATCCAAAAGGAACACAACCTATTCATATTGTGTATGTGTGTATGTGTGTTTTCACAGGACAGTACATTCCACTGTGTGATGAAGATGGTTATTACAAGCCCACACAATGCCATGGCAGTGTTGGGCAGTGCTGGTGTGTGGACAGATATGGAAATGAAGTCATGGGATCCAGAACTAATGGTGTTGCAGGTTGTGGTAAGGAAAATGGTACTTAATATCTCAAATGCAGGATAAATACATAAGAATCTCGTTCATTTGTTCATTGAGGACGTACCCTATGCAAAGACTATATAATATATTAGGGGAGGTGACTAAAGACTCAATCCTAGTGTATTAAAATGTGTATAAATAATAAATAGAATTGAATAATTTAGATATTTTAAGGAATAGTAACTAAAAGGTGGCTTATTTTTACTACTTCAAATACCTCTTGTTTTTCCCTGAGGTAAAGCAAGCATTCGTTATCCATTGTATTCCAAGTCAGCCAATCCTAGTGTATGCGTGGTTTACAAGTTGGTGCCCTTTTGTTTGTACACATTTGGAGAAGTTGACTTAGGGAGTATGTAGGCTCACCAATGAAAGAAAAACGGACTTCTTAAAGTAAAGGTCCAAAAATTGCAGCTATATGAGCTCATTTCCTTATGTTTGGGTGAGAAAAATATAGTTTACCTGTTTGATAGGTTCTTATGATTAATATTCTAATTGTTTTTATGAGCATGCATTTTTATGTATCAACCTAAAAATTAATATTTTAATAACAATTGAGTATCACAAAAATGCATTTTAAAATTTTAAATGTGGCATCTTTTTTGTTTCATAAAATATTTTTCCAGAATGCAAGTTTCAAATCAATATTTTTACTTATACTATAGAGAATTCTCACTACACACACACACACACACACACACACACACACACACACACACACACTAGGAATTAAATGGATTGTGTGTCAGCTGATACAAATGACCAAAAATGGTCAGTCTTAGATTTTAGAAAATGTTTAGTTGTCTTTATGCAATTTTTAAGCTGATAGGCTGTGATTATTTTAAAATTACATAAATGGTAAACAATATAAAAATAATTTCATTTAATGCTTACATGCCTATTCTGCATTTATTTTACCCATAAGATTTTTGATAGCTTCATTTTGGTTTTCTGGCCAACATTATCAGACAAGTAGGTGAAGTAGTACTCAGCAGCTACCTAACATCATTTTAACATGTAGAGAACATGTCTTTGTAATATGTAGTTTAAATTAGTTGTATTATTAACTACTTAATTATCAGTGATGCTAGTGATAGGTGTAGAATTTTGATTCTTTTATGTTGTAAATAAAAATTATATATAGATATGAATCTGATAAGTGAACAGAGAGATTGTTTTGGGAATATGACTTCTGAGTTTTCTTAGCATGGCAAAATTATTAAGAAAATACATGAAGTAGGAGAATAGAAATAAAGTTTTATTCTCATAAGATGAATTTCAGCGTGTATTAAGATATCAATTTATAAATAATGAATGACATTAATAGGATATGTTATAATTAGCTACCTAAGAATTTTAAGACTAAAATATGAGAAAGGGTAGAAAATAAATGCACACTAACATTAGAACAGTTAAAAATAAATACATGCAGAATAACATGTGTATTATTATCCCATAAATAGTAATTGATATATTTCCACATTTAAAAAAAAAAGAACTATGTTATGACTAGCTATGTTAATTTTCCATTGCTATTGTAACATATCCCCACAACCTCAGTGGTTTAAGCCACACAACTTTATTATCTTACAGTTCTGTATATCAGAAGTCCAACATGTGTCTCCTTGTGATAAATATCAAGATATCTTCAGGGCTGCATTCCTTCAGTTTCCTTCCATTTTCCACCTTCTAGAGGCTGCTCACATCTCTTAGCACTTAAGCCCTATTCCCCAACTTGAAAGCTGGCAGCACTGTATCTCTCAGATCATTCTTCTGTAATCTCATCTCTCCCTAATTCTATCTGAGAAAGGTTTTTTTGATTTTGATGACACAAGTGATCATCTGGGCCCAACCGAATAATCCAGAACAATCTCCGCATTTTAAGGACCTCATTTTAATCATATCTGCAAAGTCGCTTTTACCATGTAAGGTCACATATTTGTAGTTTGCAATGATTAGGATGTAAAGATCTTTGGGGGGGGGGGCAATGATTTTGCTTAACCACAGTAATAGGACAAATTTTTAATTCTTTGTGAAATTCAGTGTTTGACATGGACTCTATAAAAATTGAGCTGATATGAATATTACTGAACTGGAAATCTTACATGTCAGGCTTCAGTAATAGTTCTTTTTTTTAGCACATAAATTTTAACAAATGATAGAGAATAGACTGTTCCTTATCTTTGCTAAGCTAAAGAACAAATTAAAATGTTATTAATTCTCTCAATTCTCATCAAAATTTTACATCTCTCAGAAATTATCCCACTACTCAGTCAGATAACATTAGCGTTTACTTTTTTCCCCAAGCTATCGATTTTGAGATCTCTGGAGATTTTGCGAGTGGAGATTTTCATGAATGGACTGATGATGAAGAAAATGAAGATGATATTATGAATGATGAAGATGAAATTGAAGATGATGATGAAGATGAAGGGGATGATGATGATGATGATGGTGATGATCATGATGGGTACATCTGATTGATGAGAGCTGAGATCAATAAACTTTAAATTTCTATTATTTACAAAGTGATAGCCCTATTGAGAATTACCTTCTTGCCCCCAAACAAAATGATTCTAAAACTCACATATATTTTGTATAATTATTTCAAATATTGCAACTAAAGTCATAGAACTTTATGTTTAAATAAGAATAATTTACTTTGAGTGTTTTATGCCTTAGAGAAAAAGAAAGCAAATATGGAGTCTAGCCAGAAGAAAGAAAGTTATGAAGAGTTACTGATAAAATTCATAAGAACTATGTAAATCTCCCACAAACAAAATAACATTCAATGCTTGAGATCATCTGTGTTATTTTTCTGAGAGATATCCTAAATTAAATGTACAAAAACTTATTGGTGACCTGGGTCCCAAGGATTTTATGAAACTATGCATGACCTTAACTGGAATTCCAAAGTAGCATCTTCCCCAACCTAGAGCGTGTTCGTGATGAGTGAGGGGATACCACAGGGTAAGAAAAATAAACTGACGATTGTAGAGTCCTCCATCTTATTTACATTATTAGTGACTTTTTAAATTATGCAATTATTCTGGATATGATAAGATATTTTACGAAATGGCAAGAAAGGAAATCTATGGATTCTGAAAGTTTAAAACTTATCTGTCTTTTCTAATTTTTATTTTAATTTGGATAGCAGTTCCATGTAGATGTTTTTTATATTCTTAAACAGCATGATTTCTTTACCTTTCCAAGTTTCTTTATCTTTCTGACCAGCAACTTAGGGTGCAGAACTTAAAGTAGAAGACAAAGGGAAAGATTCATTTAAAGCATATTTTCACATACAGTTTGTCATTTGCCCCAATGTCAAATATAAAAATCTTAGTTTTTGTTTTATTTCCTATTTTAGATAAAAATTTGCATTTAATCTAAGAATTATACCATTTTTGTTACTAGTGTCAAAACTTAGAGAACGTATTGTATGGTGCCTTGCAAAATAGAAATAGAAAGATTTTAGCATGCATACCAATATAGGATATTAGGCAATATATAAGCACACCTAATTAACAGATTAATACCAGTCAAGGTACTGCTGCTGCTGGAATGAAGAAAATGGAATATGTTTCTTTCTTTTTTTCTATTGTTACATACTTGCCATGTGGACTTGTTTATGATTATTGTGTAGAGTAGCATTTAAGATTTAACTGTAACAAAAATTAATTGCTATACTTAAGTTAGCATGTTAATTAATTGTGTGGACATTTTGGCACACCTTCATTTTTAAGTATATCAGACCTATGGTTTTGTGCCCATAATAAAAATGGAAAAAACTTGTCGAATATTTCACCTTGGTATTATAATTTAAACAGTGGGTCAACTGGTCTCCCAATATATATATAATTCATTGAAAGGAAAATTGGTGGATTCTTTCCATTTGATTAATACACACTAAAAAAGAAACTTCAATGTTAACTTTATGTAATATTTAAAGTATACTGCATTTTCTTTTTTTACTGTTTATGTATAGTTTAAAAAATAAAGAATCTTGTAACCAAATTAAACTGTTTCTTAATGATTTTCTGGGGTAGAAATAGCATGAAGGGTTCTTAATCTATTCCTTGATTTTAAAAATGAATACATCACAAACTAGTAAGTAAAGGTTTTGAAAGTTCGATTTTCAAATTCAGAGCATTGGCATCTTGGGTATTGTTTTTCTACCCATGTTAAAAATGATCTTTGTTTTGTTTTAATTTTTTCATTCATCACAGTGTTGCAAAGTAGATAATTTTCTTTATCGAGGGTGGTATTTTTAGAACCATTTTTTGGTATTATATATAATATATTTAGAAAAAGTTCTATAGCAACAACATTTTTGAAGAATGAAAGACTAACTTTTTCTATTTAATGAATGTATAGGAATCATAAAATATAACTTGTAGATTGAAAAAACACAAATAATTAAATTCTACATAGAGTTTTAGAAAATGAATTTAAAGTAGGAAATATAGTAGTCTTGAAGTTAAACTATTTTTTTAAGGAATCTTTCAGGCTCTCAAGAAAGTGACCAATTCAACAGTAAGTATAAAATCAAAAACATTTACATTATTAAACTTTATATAAAATATCTGTATACAATTTGTATTTATATATATATGAACAAAAATTCTATTTGTGATATATATCAGGTCTCTTGATCATTATTTAATTAATTTGAGATTTTGATTTGATACAGTTATTTTTATTTATTAAAAATATCAATATTGAGCACCTATTGTAACCCAGGCACTATAGATTCATTGGTGAACAAAACTATTATGGAGTTACTATTCTAGTGTGGAAGACGGCAATGCATTTATCCTTAGCCCATAATATAATATGATTGTATTAGCATTGGAAAAAAAATCAAAGCTATTTCCTAGGTATAATATGAATTTTAAAAAAAAATGTATTTTGAATCCTTAAGAACAGTTTTTGATACAAACTCAAAATTTTTAAAGAGCATTTTTGATTAAAAAGAATCAACTTACTCTAACAATTTATTCTTTCTTAAGTTGAATTCTGATGCACAGACATGAAATCATACTGTGTTATACTATAAGCCTTGTTTCTCTAGTGTTATTATTCTCTAGTGCAAGTAAAAAACTATAAGACAGTCTGAATCACAACAAATTAAAATGCGAATTAATAAAGAAAAAAATAGAAACAAATAAAATGTCAAATGTTCCTAGCATGTCAAAAATCTAGTATGGATATTTATTAATTATTTTTTGTTGTGCATATCTAGCATGATAATTTAGATATACCACTTAATGCTATTGGTGAAACAAGTTAAATTAAAAACAAGCATACAATATTTTAGTACTGATTGAAAGGACACAAAGCCTAAAGCAAACTTTGTATTTCTGCCAGTATTTTAAGAGAATAAAGTCAATAGAGCCAAAATATTAATTCATTAGAATTTCCTAATTAATTAATAAAATACATACTGAGTGCTTCATTCCCTGTATAAATATTTACATATTATTTTATATGAAGCTAAAGATGTGGAAATTAACTCACAAAATAAACGTTGATCCACATGGGCTACTCAATTCCTTAAAGTGGGTTTAGAAAGTTTCATAAAGTTATTTCCTTTGAAACAAACATTTGATGATATGATCCCATGGCTATATGCAGTAAGTCATTCAGAGGCCTGCATTTAGTATACTTTGCAAGATTCTTAACAGCTGAGGGAAAAAAATGGAGAAAGTAAACCAAATCAAACAGAATCATAATTATAAATGAGCTGGTTTTGTCTAATAAATAAAAGCATACATACAAACATGCACACTCATTTAGTTCAGCTTTTGTCTTTGATTTTAAAGAAAATTGCAATAGATCAATTCACATTTTTATTTTTCTTCTCTCTTGTTCATGATGAATGAAAAGTACTCAGTCATGTCATGGATTTCTCAGATTAAGTAAAAAAAAATTCAGAATATTTACAGTGCTGCAAATATGTAAATAAGTGATAATATGAGCTCCCTGTAGTTTATTCTTTTCAACTTAAATAGCTGATATTGAGATTAATATAATGAAAAAATGCATTTTCATTCATCCTGGTACATTTTGATATGAAATAATATTAGCTTTTTACTTTCACATCTTAAAAATATTTCAGGAATTGTAATGGCTTCATGAAATTTTTACCAGTGCCTAAGTCAATAAAGGGAACATCTTAAGCATTTACTATGTATAATACATATGACATCCATCCTTGGGCATATACAATTTGGAATAGACTTTTTGAATAACAACTATTTTCTCTCTTCAATTGCATATGAATTTCTGCCATGTCTACATTACCTAACATCTCTTTTATTTATTTGTTACATGCCTTAAAAAAATCTTAGCAAGTAAAATTAATATAAATCAGTTCACTGTGAAACATGATTTAAAATGACAAAATGAAAAGTTGTAGGTGAAAAAGCTAAAATTGTCATCGACTTGTGCACACAAACATACCCATTTTCAACTTTTTCAAAGATATCCTTGGGGAATGTATTTTTAATATATTTTTAATGTTAAATCACCCTTGATCTTTAAAAACATAAATACATACATACACATACTTGGATTTGAAGCCTCTATGTGTCACCTTTTTCATTAATCAGAAGTAGCTTAACGTACTTTTATCCAAATAGGGGTAATAAATAGTACTTACATCACAAGGTCACTGTGAGAATAAAATGAATTAATGTCTGAAACATAGTAAATATCAAATAAATGCTATTATTATTATTGTTATTATTTTTTTATTATTATTTGGACGTGACATAGCAAAATTACATTAAGAAATTTAAAAATACATTTCCAAACCTAAATGTCCTAGCGAGTTGGCTTTCCTAAGTATTTCTTCATTTTTGAATAGGTCTTTTACAAGAGTAATTGTGACTAATATTTGTGTACATTTACTATATGTTCTGTATATTAAATGCTAAAAACATTAAGTTCATACAATAAGCTAGGAGAAGGGTAATATTACGTTTCTTATGTTAGAGACGAAGTACAGAAATCACTAGGACTCACCATACCCAGTTTTCCTCTTCCTGTACACACGAGGCATCTTTTTTTTTTCTTCACAGTCAAGTTGAGCTCTTATGACCAGTTCTGGGCAAAGGACGGTGAGCTGATGTAATGAGAATGGTGATTGAAAGGGCAGGTGTCATCTACTCTACAGACAATAATAGAGTTATGACTTTAGCCCACGTCTTCCATTTCCACTGGTCATTTCACCATCATGCTACTTCTACATTTCAGTCTGCAACAATTATAAAAACTAATGCTTTATTCTTATACAACATACAAATTTTGAGATCATGTGAAATCCCTTTAACATGAAGCAGAGCATTGATAAATTAATCCAGTTGATTAATGGAACAGCCTTGTATAGTGGTATAAGAAAGGCAGCTTTTCATACTAATGTCTCTATATTTATGGATTTTTAGATTAAAATTCTGGAGTCAGAATTCCTGGGCTCAATCTGATATTGTTTTGTGACATTGAGCAAATTATTAACTTTGCTGTAGAGTTTCTTCACTTGTAAAATAATAATAATGTGAGAATTTACTTAAAGCTATTATGGAGCTTCAGTGGGAACCCTAGTAAAATACCTACCTCAAAAAAAGTTAGGTACGATAATCAAAAGAGTATGCAGGCTGGTAAAAATCTTGGATACTATGGCCTGGTTACCAGGTCTCGAATCCTGTCTTTGGCATTCATTGGTGTGTGACTTTAGCCAAGTTATTTAACATCTCTGTGGCTCAAGTTTCTCATCAGTGAAATAAGTATGGCATTTATTCTCACCTCATGGGTTGTGAAAGAGAATTATAAGTTTTAATACTTTAAAAACAACAATGTTTGGCACTTAGCACAAAATAATATTATTAAGAAGAGGGAAAGAAAGAAAAGTCAGTACACTATCTACTACTTTTAGATCATATTTTTTTAAAGATGGGAATATAGAAATTGTTATTCTTGTTTCCTCGAGTCCAGAAAAAAAATCTGTGAACTCTGAAGGTCACCAGAACATCTATATAGAAACTAAAACACAAATTTGGGTAATATCAACTCAGTGCAGTCCAATTTTAACTTGCTTTTGATATTTCATAAATGTTCTCTCTTAAAATGTACTTTCTATTTAAGAACTAACCTTTCAAAACATCAATTATCTGGAGTTTAAGATGTCCTATCCAAAGGAGTGGTTATTTCCAGAAATTTCTCAATATAGGTTTTCCTTCATTGTTACTCTAAATATGTCTTTTTAATTGAGATGTTAAATAGTGCCAGATTTCATTGTTTTTTTAGTCCCTTTGGGTTAAGATTTATAAATTCCAGAGTTAAAAAAGAAGCAATATCTAGCTATTATAAATCAATTTCAGTACTTAACAGAGGTCGTGGCAATGTGTCATTTTGGATTTTTAGATTAAAAAACAAAATTTGTGAACAGCATTACCTATACATTAAAAATAATTTAGCTTTTGTTTGGGGAAGCAAAAGTAGAGATGTAACAATGAGAAGAATGGATAGGACAATTTGATATTTTCAGTTTCAAAAAGAGTATGAATCTTAGACATGAATCATTTTATAGTTGTCTAAACTTTGAAAATTCTTTTCTTATACATAAATATAGAGATATTAGTATGCAAATAGGCCATTATTAGTAAACTATTTCTTAGTTTACTTTAGCCAGATATACTTTTTCCTGATATGTATGTAAAAATTTAATATTTTTCTCTTTTAGGATAATGTGTTCCAAGTGCTCATCATCATTTCACTCCAAACAACAGGTACTTTTTCCTGAACTAATTTGACCATCTGGAAAAAGACAAAAGATGGTAGGAAAATGCCCTTTATCATAAGATATCTTTGTGAGAAAATGAACGAATTAAAGATTCTAATATGGGCCTAACGTTCTTATACAATAAAATGACAGCAAGGTAAGTTGTTCATCATATTTGGCCACAAAAGTAAATAATTTTGATTCATGTCCAGTCAGTCACATTAATCCTGTACTA